TCTCAGCCATTGCCAGCTCTTATTATTATCTGTTTTCCTTGCTATTTTTTTAATATACTAACCATGTAATGCTTTGTCTTCCCATGTTTCCATTCTGTTCTTCATTTGGTGTTTCTTGTAGACCAGTTTATTCTCTCCAGTAGTCAGTAAGCTTTTCTGGTATAACAGCTTCAGTGCATCTTCTTTACTATCCTTGGACAGTCTTCCAGTGCTAAATACATGATTTATTGTTACTTCTGCTTCTTTGAACAATATGCATATTGAATCATTTGATGATTTTTAAACTAATGTCTTGATTGTTTGTTTCAAATAGCATGTTATTGAGCATCCAAAATCAAGCATTCAATTTCTTTTTTAATGTTGCAGTTATAGGCCATTACTGCCTTTCTCCTGGACATTTGTAGAAATTAACCATATAATGCTTCTCTTTGCCAGCATTTTGTTCCTGTTTTTATTACATCTTTTCAAAATTCACTTTTTGTCTCCTTTACATTTAGTAAATTTCAATTCTTCACCTGCATCAATGCTTGTTCTTAGCTGTTTTCTACACAATCAGCCAATGCACATTTTTTTCTTTGACAGTTTGTTTGACTTGAACTAAACATCTATTTATATTTCTATGGCACAGGTATACTTTTGTGAATATTACTATGGGAGTATAATGCATAATGAATGTTTTTTTTGTCTTTTAGTCCAAACTGTCCAGTTCAGCTTGTCCAATTAATAATTTCAGTAGTGTATCACAGGGATGGCCCAGGTACTGATGGCTTTGATGATTTTTCCACAGTTCAATTTTGTTGTTAGCAATTTTCTATGATTCAGAAAACATTTTCAGGCCATCCTAAATTATGAGCTTGGAATCTATCTAAAAATGGTATACTTAGCCTTTGTAACAGCATAAGATTTAAAATTAAGATCTGTATCTTACATAGAAAATACAAGATTTCTAGAAATTTTGAAAAGACGACAAAGAAACATGTCTCTTATAATGTAGTAGTATTTCCAACCAGTCCAATTTTGTTTATTCTTCTTTTTAAATAGAAATGTTCAATAATATTCTTTATTTGTTAAGTTTTCATTTTTAAAAAAAAAACAATGCTGTTACTTGTAGTCAGTCTGTGTGATCTTCTTGCAGCAGCTAGTGGTCCAAGTGGTCTATTTCTTCAGATTCTTTGCGTAGGTAGCATTTGCAGTCTATTGCTGTCTTTTCAATTCTGGCTGTGTATGCATTTGTTCTTAAGGCTTGGTCTTGAGCAGCCAGAATTAGCCCCTCTGTATCTTTCTTCACCTTTCTTGCCCTCAGCCATTGCCTGGTCCTGTTATTATCTTTATTTTAGTTTTCTTTGACCAATAAAATACAAATATTTCAATCTTGTTCTTACCGGCTGCTATTGATATGTTTAGCAAGGATGTGAGAAACAAAAACAACTGAGAAACTAGAGGAAAGTAATCAGAATTACATTCTTTTGAATTGTAGAAGCAGACTTTTCAGTCTTACAGAAAATTCCCAAGACAGTTTTTAATTAAAACTATTTAAAAAAATATGGTTACTAAATAACACAGATGTATGAAGCAGCCTCGTGAATACATGCTCCTACTCATTGTTTTAATTGCCATCTAGGATTGGAGGTGTAAATAAACTTTTTTTAAAAAATGCCTAAGCCTGGCTAAGAGTAGCAATAGTATTAATACAAAAAACTATAGAAAAAAACATAAATTACAATACACCAAAAGAATGAATAAAGAGCACAGTTTTCAAGGGCTGCTTTAAACTTAAGCTACCTAGTGGATAAATCTCAACACAGAATATGTGAAAGCTAAGGAATGATTTTATCCAGACCTAAATGTATCTACCAAAATCTTTCTGATGAAACCCTGTAGGGTTAAACAGACTCCTGTGAAAGTAGGTCATCTTTTAGATCAGAGGTCTCCAACCTTTCTGGGCTCGCAGACTGGAGGGAAGGAAAGCAGCTTCAAAATTGGTGTGTGCACATGTGCACGCACAGGGCCACGCGCACTGGTGCAGCACTAGTGGCCCCATTCACACATGCGGCATATGCTGGCATCGTGCGCATACATAAATGGCCACACCTCCCACAGCGGCTAGCGCCCTATTCGTGCATGCACAAATGGGCCATGCAACCCACTCGGGCAATTGGCTGGCTCTTGGCATGTGCAAATGGGCCATGGACACCCGCCCCTGTCCTAGTGTCCTCGTTCGTACCGTACACATGCGCAAACAGGGTCACAGGTGCTAGTGTGAGTGGGGGGAATGCGCGCCCACATGTGCATGCACTGGCCAACCATTTCTGCAGCCCATTGGCCAAGAGCCCACAGCCCAGTACCGGGCCATGGCTCATAGGTTGGGGGCCCCTGTTTTAGATACGGTGTTACTTACAATAGAATGCAACTTGAATATTACTTGAGTGAGATTGCAATAATCTTGATAAAACTGTCATTTAGGTCTTAGGTAACTAGGAAATAGTATATTTGCATATGTGCTCCAGCTATTTGCTCTTTGGTGTACAAATCATCAGATAACATTATGCTAACTAACGGCATAAAAGCAATAACACCCTCACTAGAGAATTATATCATGATTATCATGATTACAGAAGTAATTTAGTAGGATTTCCAATGGGAAAACAATGAAAGTAGGCTGCATAATGAGATCAAATGTGAAGACAAGCCAGAAACGACAATGCTATCAAATCTTGTCTTTGCATATTAATTTTATAAACAATAACAGGTCAACATGAAGACCTTTAAGCAACTGAAAATATAGATTTCTTGAGTAGATTTACAATAGTATTCTGCACAGTATCATGGATACAGATTACATATTCAAATGGGGGGTCTGACACCATTAATTCTAAAATGTAAAGAAAAAGGTCTTTGCAAATTTAATTGGTTACATCTTTCAGTCAATACTTCCTCCATATCTATCTACCCTTCAATGATCTATCCATCTAAATGGCATCCAGTTAAATACATTGGAAAGAGAATGGAACTGTAGAGGAAAGATGGGACAGAGTTCAGCATCCCATCATCTAAATATTCTTTCAAAATTTTCACTTAATCTACACATTTAAGGGCATATTATGTAGTGATTTAAAAAAGAGATCTTTTTAAATGATATTTCAGCAATAATTTAGTTGTCATTAGACCTAAGCTAGCCTTTTCTTGTTGACTTCATTAATAACAGTTCCACAGTAAGATTAAGCCTGATTTAGATCAGAAAGAGAATAAGTTCAGATCCATTTTAAATTGAAGCCACTGTGCTTCGTATAACATCTTGGGAATACCGTAATCCAGCTGGAAACCTTTTCTCCTATAATGCTGTAGGTTGAAAAAATAGCCATCCATTAATACAGGTAGTCCTTAGCTTACACCCACAATTTGGATCGGAATTTTGGTTACTAAAAACACATTCATTAAGTAAGTAATCATCACATGACCAAGCCCAATCGTACAACCATTTTACTATGGTTATTAAGTAAATCATCAGAGTTGATAAGTAAATCATGTAGTCAATAAGTGAAACACATGGATGTTAAGCAAATCCAGCTTTCCCAATTGACTTTGCTTGTCAGAAGCTGGCTACAGTCATGATCACATTATTGTAAACATTGAAATGGTTATAAATGTGAGCCAGTTGCCAAGTACTCAAATTATGATCACATGACCACAAGGGTGGTGTGTGGTCATAACTTCAAGGATGGATCATAAATTACTTTTCCCAAGTGTAACTTTGAACATTAATAAACAAATAGTTGTAAGTGAAGGATTACCTATATGGCACCCTAGGCTTCAATTTTAAAACTATGGCCCTTATCAACTAACGTTTTCTTAATCACAGTTTGTTAAAAAGAACAAGTATTGTAACATAGCAACAAAAGGGCAGCATAAATATTTTATTCAGAAAAGATGTGATGGAAAAGCAGAATATGAATATTTTTGTCAGATCCTATCATCCTACTTAAAAGATGAGTTCTGCCACAAAATGTCTATTAATGTTGCCTATTTTGTATCTAAAATACTATAGATGCATTTTTTTCTCAGCTGTTGCCCTCAAAGTAAGCTGGAGTGGAATTATCATCTTCCTTTAAAATATACTTTTCACAATCTATTTAGAAGAATTTTCTCAACTTGGTATCTTCCAGATGCTGAATAACAATTCCAAAATCTCTAGCCAACATGGCAAATGACCAAGCTATTTAAAGATGATGAAGTAGACTGAAGGTGATCAGAAAGACATCAGGTAAGCGAAGTCTGGTACAGAAAGATTAATATTGGACATCAGCTGCACACACAGACACAAACTCTCACACACAAACACAGTCACACACAAATACCCAGCAGAGATCACCTCTTAGAAAACTAATGCAAATCTGATTAAACTACTGAGATCTTTTATATATGGGTATTTTAAAAAGTTTGTAGGAAGTTAAATAAGCACAAATGAGGTCCTACTATTGCAATATTATTCTAAAGACAAAAAAAATGAAAATCTTTGTCTTATAGTAAATGTAGAGTAAAAAACATAACATCATATTTTCACAACATGATGTCACAATTTTGGAGCTCCCAGAGCCCCAAATTTAAAATTTTCCTCTCTAAAAACAGGAGCAAAAGACATCTACATATAAAACATGGAACAAGGCTTTTCTCTCAAAGAGTTTTATATTTATATGTAGGAAATCAATTTGTATTACCAATCATATCGTTCAGATCAGATGACACTGTAGTTAGAAGGTAATTTACTTGGCTGCCGAAGCCATTTGATAGTAGTTCTGATTTGTGATTTTCATTTTGTTTGTTAATGAAAAAAATTAATGAGCAATGTTACTGGAAGTACAACTCCAAGAACTGGCATTATTAAACATGCTTTCAATATACTGTATATTATGTTGATTGCACTGTCAGAGCCTGAACTTTGTCTACACAAACCAGTCAATCAAACTGATGTGGAATTTTCAAATAGGACTTTTTCCACTTACCTTTGCACTGATTCGTGTTTTTGTCTAGGATTGCTTTTGTAGATACAATTTTTCCATACCTAAAAAAATAAAAGGGGGAAAAGAATATTTTAGATATAAAGACATAGAAATATATTTGTTTATTTTATTGTGATTTCAATCTCATTCAGTCACTTAACATGATTTAGGACACAGAAGTAGATTTCACCACTGGCAAAAAGTGTGGCATTAAAAGCTCAGAATGCAACCTCTATGGTAATGCCAGCTTAAGACTACCATTTTTGGGTAACTGTCAATTAGTTGTTTTAAACATCAACAAGGAAATCAAACAGGATGAAAACTTTAGGAATTTGAAGTGGTATTTTCAGATATGTTGATTATAGAAAGATTAATCTTATTTGTTTATTTATTTATTTCTCATCTCATAAGAAATGAGTGTAAAATAACCAGATAAATAACAATACATATATAAAACAAGCATTTAAAAATATAAAAAGTCCATTAGATATTAATTAAAAATAAAATATATACAAACCCCAAGCACTAGGTGACCACATCCACTTCAGTAGTGGAGCTATCTAGACAGCTGTAATTCCCTGGGATTTGAGGGATTTCTGGAACATCAAAAAGGATGAAGGTAACCTAATGTTGGTGTGTGGAGCAGAAAATATTGCATAAAGTGGCTTCTATAGCAAAGAAGGCATGCTGCCTGGGACCCACAAAACATGGGTCCCTGCAGATGGCGCAGGCTGATATAATCGGGAAGATATGGTCCTACTTGGTCCCATGCCATTAAGAATTTTAAAGGTTAAAATTAGCATCTTGAATTGGACCCAAAAGCAAATTGGCAACCAATGCAGTTCACAGATCAGAGCTGTAACATATGCTATCCTAAGAGCACACATAATTGCCCATGACAGTGTATTATGCAACAGCTGAAGCATCCAAATACTCTTCAAGTCACATTTAGAGTGCATTATGTCCAATCTGAAAATGTCTAGACACGAATGACTGTGAATTCAGAAACAGGCATAACTGATACAAAACCCAAAGTTGTGCAAGCTGATTTGTCTGTGGGGTCCTTGGTGCTCTCTGAGCTTGGTTGTTTTCTTATGGATGTTTCATTAGCCTGTTTGTCTGAGTTGGTAGTTTCTTGATTAGGGTTTGTTTGCTTCTTGACTGATCAACCTTAAACTACATATATTCTTTTCTACCAGTGGCTTGTTTTTTTATATCAAAGAACTTTGCTACCAAGACTCTTAAGAGTTGACCCTGCAGAAGAAGGACATAAAGAAACCCTCTGGCAGACAGCCAGAAAAAAAGGGAGGCATTTTTGTAAGTATTTAATATAAGAGAAAAAGAAGCAGTGTATTTTGGTTTCAGTTCCTTTCACCTCCAAAAAGTTAGGAACCATAAGCAGTTTCTCCAGAAATGCTACTTAGGTCGGGCAATTCTACCTGGGGAATACTATCTTAAGCAGGGGTCCCCAATCTTGGTCCATGGACCAGTACCGGTCCATGGAATGCCAGCAACCGGCCCGCAGAAAGAAGTAAAACCCCATCCATGGGATGCAGGCAGCACACAAAACCATGCACTCTCCGGTCCGTGGAAAAACCCCTCTCCACGAAACCTTTCCCTGGTGCCCAAAAGGTTGGGGATCTGGTCTTGAAGATAACCTGGAACAAAGCAATAGAAGGCTTTATAAGTGAAAAACAGCACTTTAAACTGCATCCGGAAAGTTATTAGTGAATTATTGCATTCTGGGTCATTTGTACTTTCTAAATACTTTTTAAAGACAGCCCTATTAGAATGCTCCAGACAGATAGTGATAAAAGCATGAACCACATTTACAAGGTCTTTTTTGTTTAGGTAGAGGTTCCAATTGGCACACCAGCTGAAGGTGGAGAAGGATCCCGTATCATGGCCCCAACCTACTGTTCAAACACGAACCATGTATACAAAATGTCCTTAAGTCACAGATCTGATTCTGTGGTAGCATCCCCCATCAAAACAACACTGGATCACAGTGAGAATCCCAATATGGAAACAATAGCTCTTGCTTGCTCAGACTCTATTTTAGTTAATTTTGTCTCATACAAACCCTCACAACAAAACCTCTATAGAATCTTCAGTGAGATCCAGTGTGGACGTTTATACTGGGTATCTTCATCCTACTAATGATATCAATCTCCAAAACAATGATTGATCTCTTGAGACAGCTTCATGTAGAGAGAGATATATATGAAAGATCATAGGCCAACTTCTATTAACTCCTATCAAATGGATCCATCTACTAAGGAAGGGATTTTATTTATTCTGAATTCACACAAATGATCTACTAGGATAATATCCTAGGATAAGATCCAAGTCCCAATAAAGGTCATGCACAGAGAGGGATCAATTTTATCTCTATGTTTCTCCAGGGTAATTCATAGTTGATCCATCTTCTCCAACTATCTTAACAAACTTATCTAAAAAGGGAAAGCTTGAGATAAGTAGTTTATCTAGCACTTGTGGATGGAAGGAAAGCTTCCTAAGAATAGGGTATACTTCAGCCTCAATCAAGACTGCTGGCAACACTTCCCCTATAATAAGGCATCAACCATGTCATTTATTTATATATGTGCTATATATCAAATATATAGAGAGACAAATATCCTGTCTTTAAAGAAGGCTTCAAGATAACAGTCACAGCATTGTTTCTTCTATTTTTCTCCACATCAACTATTCTGTGAAAGAGAACAACTGCCCCAAAGTCACCCAATGTACAGTTACCTCATATAGCAAATCACCATACAACACAAAGTTGAAGTCAGAATGGTTCAATGAACTCAATTTCAGTTAAATTAAAATGTATTTATAACAGTACTTAAATCAGTACTAAAGAGATTTTTAAATGAACATATCTTGTGATAAAAATGTAGGTTTTAAACAGACATTGAAATGCTATGAGAGAAGAAACAAGATTCAATTTAGAGTACATTTATGCAATAAATGAGCCATACAGAAATAAAGATGTGAAATGCATACACTGCTTCTCAAAATATTCTTCCTGAAATGAGAGTGAAGTTTAGATTATTCAGCAGATTTCTTTTCAGTATTACAAAAGGCATTTGTTAACTGCAGGTAGTGCCTCCTCTTGAAACTGCTAAACAATCCAAATTTCTTATTTTGAAATTCCAAAAGGAGGAACATCTCAGTTGCCAAAATGGATTTGTCTAGTTAGCTGAGCAGCTAAGTTGGATTTGAGTTCTGTAACAGACCAATCACCTTCTTTAGATACTATAGAGGAAAAATGTTCCAGGCTTATTAGTCCTCTAAGAAGGCAAAGTCTGAAATCAATTGACTCCAATTATATAGTTTTTAGACAAATAACAAGACTATAAAACAACACTAATCCTTTGTTCCTGTTATTTTCTAGTTGATATAAATCGACCACCACTGCTGAAATTAGTAGGAATGAGAGAAATGGTTGGGCTTCTGAATTATAAAGCAGAATTGATTTAACTTCTGGTTTATCATTGCTTGTAAATGAATTTCATTACTTTTAGCATGTTTAGAATTGTTTCTTTTTATCCCTGCTCCTTCAGATAAAACAACTTCATAAAAAGCACTCTTGCGTTGCATTTAACTTCATCAAGAGCAGCAAACCAATAATACTGAGCATTCTGTACAGTATAAATAATATAGTAATAGGAAATATAAAGCAAGTATCTGCTTATATTTCAAAGAAAAAAGCAAACCCTAAATCACAAATTTATTTCTCAACAAATTCTGATAGTAGTCAAAATAAATTAGAAACACATATTTTGTAATCACAAACTATATCCCAGAAAAAAGTGACAAATTCCATCCATACACTTTCATCCATCCATCTCACTATCTACCTGTTTAGAAATCTATCTTTCCATCTGTTCTATCCATATCTGACTTCATCATGTATTCATTGTTGGGATAAGAAAAATACACTCAGGCTCAAACCAGCTCCTCTCCCTGAAGCCTCCAGTTCTGAGTAACCGTACCCAGAGATAAACAGTGATTGGGAAATTAAGTCCCTTATTTTTACTATTTTTCTGTTCCTTCTGCTAGGGTTATCACAAATAGAGTGAACTACTTATGCCTCAAGATATCTCATAAAGATTGAGGTTGTGGAAAAAATAGGAAGAGAAAGCACTTGTATCCCTTCCCTCAGTTCCTGAATAAAAGGTAAGCTATAACTCCAACAAACAATTTATTAGACAACTTAAAGACATTTTGGCTATAAAAAAATTTGAAATCAAAATTCTTATATATGAGAATAACCATCCCCACCCACAGGTATTTGAGCTTTGAAGTTACGCAGCTTCACTTGTTAATTGTTTTTGTTTATAGGTTGATGGTGTTTATGGCTTTGGATGTTTTTGCCAAACTGTCATGACTGATTCACTATGCAGCCTACGGGCAACCAGACAACAATAATGGGAGAGGAGAGGGAAGGCATTGGAGTGTGAGGGTGGTTTGGGAGGGAAACTCTGGAATGCAAGTGTGCCATCCGGAAGCCTAAGACAGTTCCACCCCCAACTCTGAGAATGTCTGAGGCAGAGAGATCATTTTCAAAATAACCCAATTGCAACCAATTGGTGGACCAAGGACAGTGGAGAACCAGGGGTGAAAGGGAAGGGATTTATCTTAAGCTTTCTGCACATGAAATGTTAGAATTGCCTTTTTCATTTCTGTACCCAAATGGCTTTTGAAGAAAAAAATGTCTCAGAGTTTCTTTTACTGGCTAGCATATTGGGATGGTTGTTGCTGCTTTTAACACATTACCTCATGCAGAATCACTTTTGGAAGATGGATGCCCTTATAAATTGTTTAAATAAATTATCTAGTATGATTTATTTATAATTATGTATGTACTTCCTAAAACTCTATTCTATTCTATTGTCCATGGGCAAGCTATATTAGAAAAGTGGGTCTACTACTGAAAAGACACACTTCCAGGAAAAACAAGAAAGTCCAGTTGCCTTCTGAAAAAGCGCCTTTGGGACAACCATAACCTGGATGACTGAGAACCTCCATAAACATTTAGCTATGCACTTTG